TTTTTATTTTTTTAATTGTTTGAACCTACCTATTTGAACTGCTTGAACCTTTTAGTGGTCGACCGGCTAGTCGACCGGTAAGACAAAAAATATATATATATATATATATATTTTGAATTGTTTGAACCAACCCATTTGAACTGTTTGAACCTTTTAGTGGTCGACCAGTTGGTCAAGCGGCCGGGCAATCGGCTGGTTGACCGGTTTCTCTCCTCCAACGGTCACAAACAGTAATTTGCTGAAATCTGCAGCTTATTCTCAATTTGATGATTTTTTTATTGAATTCTTATTTTGATATCAATTTGGTGAAACGGTTGGAGCACCAAAAAGTATTTTTTTCACCAAAATTTAAATTTGATGTCAAGTTTGATTCACCGTTAGAGATAGTCTTAAAATTTTCTCACCCAAAGTTAATTATGAAAAAAGCTATGAACCAAGACTTATCAATCCATAATTTGTTAACAATGTATTTGTGTTGTGAAAATTAATTTGATCAACTATGAAATCCATGCATACAATGAATTTCAATCATTGATTCTTTTTTTAAAATAAATTTTAAATTTGTAAATTTAAGTTTATAATCTTATTGATTAATTATTGGGATTGTGATGGTAATATAATAGTCCTGTTTGGTGAAATTATTATTTTTAACTAAAAATTAATAATTAGAAAGCCAAAACTTAAAAATGCATCTTCCTTAACTTTTAAATTTTTTTTAAATTTTTATTAAATTATTTCTACATAATAAATTATAAAACAAATTATATTAAATAATTTAATACAAACTTCTAAGGGTTATTTTGAGAAGATGGTTATAATCAATTTTTTAACTAAAAACTAATTATAATTAACTTTTTGTGAAAAAAAAAAATTATAATCTAAAAAGTGAATTATAACTCACTTCTCAAAAAACCTCTAAATTAAAATGAGTTATAACTAGTTGAAAAGATATAAGAGCATCTTCAACGGTTCACCTAATTTTTCACCAAATCTAAGTAAAAAAATGACCATTTTCTCAATTTGATCAGAATGCTCCAATGGTTGATTTTCATCAAATCTGCTCCAGGGACAACCAGTTGGTCGACCGGTTAGGCAAAATTTTTTTTTGAATTATTTGAACCTACCTATTTGAACTGTTTGAACCTTTTAGTAGTCGATCGGTTAGTTGACCGGTAAGGCAAAAAAAATATATATATATATTTTTTTGAATTGTTTGAACTAATCAATTTGAACTGTTTGAACCTTTTAGTGGTCGACCGGTTGGTCAACCGGCTGGTTGATCAGTTCCTCTTCTCCAACGGTCACAAATAGTAATTTACTGAAATCTGCAGCTTATTCTCAGTTTGATAATTTTTTTATTAAATTCTCATTTTGATATCAATTTAGTAAAATGATTGGAGTACCAAAAAATACATTTTTCATCAAAATTTAAATTTGATGCTAAATTTAATTCACTGTTGCAGATCGTCTAACAACCGGCCCCAAATGCTGTGGTTTGTCTTTTTGAGGGTGTCAGTTGGGGAATTGGGATTTGTTTGGCCAGATACATTGTATGACGGCAACCCTATCCCCAAATTGGTGCATGTGGGTCTCATTTCCTTTTTTTTTACGAACGACAGCACAGCCTTCGCTTTCAATAGCGGCAGCTACTCTTTTATTCTTGTCCCCTCTATCTTGTCTCCCCTGTTTTTTCATCACCCATCTTCATAATCATAACACTTTCTCATTACTCTTCAGGTAAGTTTTTTTAACAGAATTGTCAATTTTCTGTTTAACTCCCTATTAGAATTCCTCTTTCCCAACTATTTCCTTCATTTTTCTTGTTTTTTCAACAATAAGAAGTTCCATCATTATTTGAGATTCAATGATCGCTCTGTTTGGTTAGAAAATTAAGAGAGAGATTTAGAAAGATAAAAAGAAAAAATATGTAAAATTAGGTGAAATACATGTATGTTTTATTCACATATCATTTATTTTTTTCATTTCTCATTTCAAATCTCTTCTCAAATCTCTTAACCAAATACAACGTTAATAAATCAAATAAATAAAAAGGGATTTGTGTGTTAGCTTGATATATGAAGAGTATAACTATTTCTCAATTCAAATGACTTCTCATAAATATGTTTATGTGTGTTAGCTTGATATATATTAGTATACCTATTGTTTTTTTTTAGAAGAGAAGGAACATAAGGGGTATTAATATCCTAAAAGAGAGATGGGTTAAGTAATACCACAATTTTATGGGATTCATAATTCAAAAGAGCTATTAATCTTGATTTGGCTAATTCAATGCGTGATCGATGTATTGTAAAGAATATTTTCATATATGATAATTCTATGTAATTTTTAAGTAGAATCCCACCCTTAATCTTGGAAACAAATGCACCTTAATACTGTGTTTGATTAGGAGAATTAAAAAGGGATTTAGAAATGAAAAGAGAAAAGATATGTGAAATTAAATGAAATGTAGATATATTTTATTCACATTTCATTTATATTTTTTCTTTTCATTACAAATTTCTTTCCAAATCTTCCAAACAAACAGAATATAAAGGAAATGCCACCTAAAACGTGCCATGATTATAAAGCTTGAAAACTATGTATTAGTAAATGCTTTTCTCTTCTGTATGACACTCAAATGAGTTCGTAGAACTTGATTTAATGTGGGTGATAAGATCCTAAGCACCTTCCCCCATATATTATATTTTAATTTGCCTTTTGCTTGTCTATCGAGACTAATAACATACTTTAGAATAATCACTAGCATTACCCCAAAAAAAAAAAAAAAAAAAAAAAAAAAACTGTTGATTAAGTAAAAATGACTCATATTTAAGGGTTGTTTGGGATGTCCTAAATAAGTGTATTTTTTGACTATTTAAACTAAAAAGTTGAGGAAAAAGATATGATTGTTTGGATTAATTTTTTGATTTTTTATGAAAAAATATGTATAAAAAAATTATATAAATTAGTGTGTAGGGGAATATTAGGATTGAGTGTAGTGCAGCCGTAATTTTTGATTTTTGATGAATAATGATAACTTATTAACTTTTTAAATTATTTTTTGACTTTTTAATTTTTTAGACATTTGTTAAACTTGACCTTTAGAAAAAATGTTAATCTTGAGGCAGGAATGAGGGAAAGTGTATAGTATATTTTATTTATTAAACTCTTTTTTTATGTTGGCTCTAAACACGCTCAACTTTTATTTTATTTATTTATTTTGTAGAATCTATAGTAAAGTAAATTCTTTAATAATCTGGCATACAAATTTGGCAAGATTAAAATAAATATTTAATAAAATAATAAATTTAGCATATCAGCTGAATATTTTAGAGATGTCAAATGTATATATTACAATTTGTCATCTAAAGTCTTCAAAAAATTTTTTTAACATACTATTTTTTGAAAGTTTGGGTGAAAATAATTCAAAAGATTATATAAAATAATAAAATCACAATTTATGTTTGTTTAGATGGACTAAATAAGAGGGAATAGAATCTATCGGACTGTTAATTCTGAAATATATAGTCCTTGGATTATTTGGTTGGAAATGATATATATCCTATGTTTGTTTTTTATAGGATATCAGGGAAAATGCTATAGGCTCCAAATTTTCTATCAAATAAATGACTAAATGTCTCACATAGATATGTAGTCCACAAAATTGCGGACCCCACACCATATGAGACATTTGATCATTTGTTTAGTAGAAAATTTGGTATCCCTACCATTATTTTAGGATTAGATGTCATGAAAGGACCATCTTATTAAATTCAATATTTGATTCAAATATTATGAAGAACGGTAAATGCTCAATAGATTATTTTACGCTTTCCAATTGTTAGCAATACTAAATCTGTTTTTAATTTTTTTTTTGGGACTAGGTTAAATAAAATTTTATTTTTTTTTTTTTTTTGGATTAGGTTAAATAAAATTTTATTTTATTTTATTTTTTAAAATTAAATAGTTTTTTTAATTAAATAAATAAAAATTAATAAAAAATTACGTTGTTAAAAATAATAAGTATTAAATAATGAAATTAAATAAAAATGAATAAAATTTTAATAGCGAAATTAAGTAAAATATCAATAAAAATTTAAATTAAGAACATCAACAAAACATCTATAAAAATATATTTAAAAAATAAATAAATAAACATCAATAAAAATTAAATAATTTTATTTTTTAATTGAGATTTTTATATTTTATTTTATTTTACTTAGAGACAAGTGTGTCATTTTACAACTTAATCTCATAGAATTTCAATTCCTACCATTTTTATTCCACGTCTCTCCTAGGACACAATAATTTAACATTTATGAGATTCATAATCCAATGGAATTATTTGGAGGCAAATGTGTCATTTTGAGTTCGTTTGGAAAGTGGTTTGACTTTTTGATTTTTTAATTATTTTTAGCCTGGGGTTAAAAAGTCTCGTTTGTGATAGATTTTTTAAATTTTTGTAAGAAAAAGAATAAAATAATTATTGATAAGATGTGACATTTTATTTTATTAAGTTAAAAAATTTATTTTATGTTCTTGTGACTAAAATAATCCCAAATCCAACTCAACCCAAGTTGCCAGGCGAACCATGTACCACTTAATCCATTGGAATTCTAATTCCTACCATTTTTATCCCACATCTCTTCTAAGACACAATAATTTAACATTTATGAGATTCATAATCCAATAAAACTCTTAATCCAACCTACAAATTCTCAATCAAAATTAAACTCCATCTAGTCCAATCCCCCTCCAATCCTTCAAAGAAACTCCACCTTGGTTCCATTCTCAAAATTAAAAGAGAGCACACTACTCTGTTCTACGAATCTAATCAAAATCTCTAATTTCTCCCAAATTTGGTGGTTAATTTCTCTCTCCCATCTCGTCATTTAAATATTTTCTCAGTGAAGTTGATTAGATATACATAACATCATCATAAGATTAATTAGAGAAATCAGTAAAACAGAGCATACTCTTGACAACAGTATCACTGAGCTTTCTCTATCAAAAGGCAGGCATTAATTCTTTGAGATCAGACCCACCATTTTAGGCGCTCTCTCTATACGACAAAATAAAAGTCAGGTTTGTTTGTCTTTCTCTACCTGTTGCTCTGTTTTGTGGCCCTCTCTTTCTCTCTGGGTTTTATAAATCCTCCATAACAAAATCCACAAAATCACTAAAACCGAGTCAGAAACTAAGAATCTGAATCCCCTTTAATCTATGTCTACTCTCCCTCTTTGTCTATCTCTCTACATTTGAAGCTTTCCAATCCTAGAAAAGGTACATATTTTTTTTTTCTTTTTTCTAGGCCACTTCTTTTATTCCCATATATGGGTATTTTGCTCTGTTTGATTTGTGGGTTTTTTGTTTTGGGTTTTCAGAGCAATCAACATGGAGGGAAGGTATGGTTTTTACAGTGGTTGGACATCCATGAGGAATGAAGAGTTTCAAGAAGAAGATGTTTGGGATGTTGTTGTCAAGGAAAGAACAGGTTTTACTAATTCCAAGGTTGGTTCTTCATTTGAGTCCTTCTCCTCTGCTATTGCTCCCAAGCTTCTCCCCTCTGCTGCCAAAATGATCCAAACAGCCAATAATAATAATAATTACAATACAAACCAAGAACCCAAAATAGTTCACCAATCAGCCCCTCTGAACATACCTGACTGGTCAAAGTTGCATGGGAATAACAAGATCTCAAAGAAAGCTTCCAAAAATGTTTCAGCATGGCTTGATGATGATGACGATGATGATGATGATGATGGTGGTGGTGGTGATAGTGATGATGGTGGTGGTGGTGGTGTTGGTGGTGTTGGTGGTGATAGTGATGATGATGATGGGGAAATGATGCCCCCACATGAGTGGATTGCTAGGCAGATGGCAAGGACTGAGATATCATCTTTCTCAGTGTGTGAAGGGGCTGGGAGGACTCTCAAAGGGAGAGATCTCAGTAGGGTGAGGAATGCTGTCTTAACTAGAACTGGTTTTCTTGAATAACATGATGGCCATCATCATCATCATCATCATCATTGTTATCATGATGGTGATACAATTTCATCAAAATGATTGATAATCTCATCATCATTCTTATCATGATGGTGATACAATTTCATCAAAATGATTGATAATCGATTGTCATCAGGTGGTATATATATAGATTGTTGTCATGCTATGTATATATATATGGTTGGTTTTTTAGTCTCTTGGATTGTCTTGTTGATTTTGTTTTCTGGGAAGGGAAAAAGCTCCAGTTAGTGTAATATCGGCATTCAATATATATAAACTTCATTTATCCAAGGGTTTAGTTTTGATTCCTTTTGTGTTTCTTGCAGCAGCAAATGCTGCAAAATACCCGGTATGAATTCTTAGAAAAAGTATTCAGAATCTGAGGATCAGATTCTTCGTAGGTGTGACCCAAGTTTTAATCTATCACACCAGACCAGACATACAAAATTCAAGCAATTTTTTTAAATATTTTTTCTGGGCACATAATATTTACATTCTTGCACTCTTCATTTATTAAAAAAAAAAAAGAAGAAGAAGAAAGCAATTCAACGCATGAGTCCCGAGAGAATAACACCAAACTGACCCTCATAAACTTTTTAACTTAGACAAAAATTGCACCAAACAGACCCTTATTTCTATAGACTATTTTTATGGCTCGGACATGCACCACAAAAGACGCTAACAACCAACCTTACTGTTGAGCGAAGAAGCCATTTCATTGTTCACTGCTGGAGTTTTTATGCATAGCGATTTTGATGGTTCCCAAAACAACCAAACTGATGAGCTTTTGTAAATCAGCCCAAGTTTTTAAGTGGAGATGATAGTGCCATTTTGCGAGCATGTTTTTTATAATATTTGAAGCTTATTAGCTTATTAGAAAAATATTTATAGATTACTGATAAATTTTGCAAATATTAAAATATAAAATGATAAACTTTTCCATCAATAGTAATTAATTTTTATCTTTTACACTGACATGTGTTTACCCTTAATTGAAACAGTTCATGGTTATCTCACTGACTTTGCTGTGGATATAAATCATAATAATTATGCTTACACTTCATTTAATAAATTAATAATAGTAAGATGTAACAAATGATGACAGGCTGTTTTGCTTCTTGGTGATGACAAAATATATTTGATGAAAGAATACAAAACCAAAATAAAAAACAGAGAAGCAATTATTTAGTATTGTGTGTCATTAACGATAAAACAATGAGCTGTAATTTTAATTATTAACCGTTTACTAATTCCAAAAATGAAAAACGGAAAAGACAAGAAGAGGTCTATTCATACATACATTTTGAAAAGACAAGAAGAGGTCTATTCATACATACATTTTGTGTGGTGTGGGTCTAGCATGAATGCACAAAAATGTATGATTAGAGATGAATTATGGTATTATTACACCCGACGGTAAATAATTTTTCAAATTAGAGGGTCTTGTGAACAGTGATGACGAGGTTAATGACTATTTTTGAACAAAGTATAGCTGTAAAATAGTAATATCTATCCATAACTAAGTTAATAATAAAAATAAACAAGAGCCCACAAAGGAAGAAGAATAAAAGCAGAACTAGCTTAGTTTTGCTAGTGGAATTGCAGAATTAATTAATGAATTAATTAAGACGAAAAAGAATGGAGAACGACATGCCACCAAACTTTATATTAATAAATTATAAAAAATAAAATAAATTTAAATGTGCATATAATTTTGGGTAAATTATACTTTGCCTTCTTAAAGTTTTACTTATTTTTTACTTTGATTCTTTAAGTTAGATTTTTCTCACTTTGGCCCTTTATATTTGCAATCCTTCTCACTTTGTCCCTTTATGTTTGCAATAATTTTCACTTTATTCCTAGACTAACTTTCATCCAAAAAAACTAACATAATTTGTCACATTATTAACACATCAACTCTATGTGTGATGTAAAAAATTCACCAAATATGTAAAAAAATAAAAAATATAAAACAAAAAAATTGAATTTTTTTTAGTCTTTAGTGAACTTTTTTTCTTCAAATTTATTCATAAGCATTATTATATTATAGATGCATCTAGATTAGATGCACCTAAGAAAATAAAAACAAATTTAACTGAAAAAGAAAAAAATTTACTAAAGACGAAAAAAATAAAAATATACTGAATCAAACACTTGTATTATCAATTTAAAAATGAAAAGTTTACTATCATTATTTTTTGTCTTTAGTATTTATTTTTTTTAGTTAATTTTTTTTAGTTGGTGCATCTAATCTAGATGCATCTATAATGTAATAATGTTTATGAATAAATTTGAAAAAAGTTCACTAAAGACTAAAAAAAAAAATTCAATTTTTTTGTTTTCTTTTTTTAATTTTTTGTATCTTTAATGAATTTTTTACATCACACATAGAGCTGATGTGTTGGTGATGTGGCAAATTCTGTTAATTTTTTTTGATGAAAGTTAGTTTAGGAATAAAGTGGGAAGAATTACAAATATGAAGGGCCAAAGTAAAAAAGATTGTAAACATGAAGGATCAAAATAAAAAAAATCAAACTTGAAGGACCAAATGAGTGAGATTTTAAGGGGACAAAGTGTAATTTATCCTATAATTTTTACATAATAAAATTAAATATGAGATAAAAGATGAATTTTAGGTATGATTTGAATCTCATATGTGAATTTTACTATTTATTTTATATTTGTGTCTCAAACATTTTATGAATATAGCCATAATACTTTTTTATTCAATTTTTTAATTCGGAGTGTTACTAGTCCTTTTCAATTGGGGAGGAAATAATAAATAATTTTAACGATCAGACAATGGTCACTCTAGACTAGAGAACTTCCATTTTGCTTTCCCTATTTATGTGCAAGTTCCCAACTGACAACCTTGGAGTTTTTTAAGCACTCTACTTAATTTTGCATTTGTAAAGAGAGTTACGAGAACAAGTTTCTTAAACACTCTACTTAATCTCATTGTGTGTTGTTTTCTGATCACATTGTCAGATAGGTATTCAGCTAGAGAACACCGACAGAATAGATTGCGCCCGAGCGACCTGTCATAGAAAGATTAGACTCCGGTGGTGGTTCGTCCACCCGGAGGTACTCCGACGATCAAGTCAGTAATCAATATCTCTCAAAAATAGCCAATTGTGCTTAATTCACAAGCCAGAATACCAAAAGCGTACCTTAGACTTACAAGGGTGCCTTACTTTTATAGCCAATACTGACCTGATCCCTGTAGAAGCCTAACTTCAATGAACTCTGGCTCAATGCTTATTCCAGACTCTTCAATAGATAAAGATAAACTCCCTAAGAGCTTTATCTTTATCCAGGCTGAAATCTTCCCCCATTCTAGGGCTCTTGTCCCTTATCCGTTCATCTCGAATTCTGGTATCTCCGCAGATAACTTCGGCCTAGTCGAGATCATCTCGGCGTCATGACCAAGACACGAGGCACCTTGGCTGGCACTTCGGTGCCACCTTGGCCACATGTTGTCATTCAAAAAATATGTCCCCACAACTACCCCTAATGTTCGATTACCTCGGCATCCTGAGGTGATGGAACCTATATTATTTAACAGTATAGCACATCGGCTAAGCTTGCTCTACTCTTTATTACAAAGGTTATCACACATCGGCTTCCATATGAAAAAAACTTTTGTGTGTTTGCATCAATCCTTTAGAACCAAGAACCAAGTTTTTTTTCAAGTTCTTTAGCCGAGATCGTCCTCCTAGCCGAGGTCTTTGTTTCATTAAATCAGGAACTCCAAGAGTTTCTACACGCGTATGAGCTGTCACGCACAGTAATTCAACCGTTTTTGCTACGCGTCTCTTCCCCATTAAACTGTACCTGTCACACGTCATTTAAGTCGCATTGCACTTGCGTGCGCTGTCTAACAAGCACGTTGTCCTAGGCACACTAATTGCGATTTGCCGTTTTTTCGTGTTTTGACAAAATTACTTCCCTTTCTCTTCGTCTTTTCACTTTTGCAAACACGATTTCTCTCAAAACTCTTAACTTTCTCTCTCTCTAAAAATCCCTTACCTCCGTTGTTGCCTTCTTCAAGCTCCCTGCAACCACTCCGTTTACTTCCTCCGGCGAAGCATTTTGCTGCTCTTCTCTGCCCACTGCCACCATCTGACTCCGGCGATCTCCATACCGGCCTCACATTCTTTCGTAAGCCACTACTTCTCCCTGTTTCGTTTTTTGATTCACTTCGAACTCTGTTACATTTGTACTCTGTTTTCATGAATGTACTTAGTCTTCACTTGCGTTTTAAATTTTATCATTCGTCTAATTGAGCATGTTTTGATTTTGCAATCTTGTGTTTGTCCACTCTGTTTTCTGGGTCTACCCATGCACACACATACTTGATGTTCTTGTAAATTACCATCATCTTCAACTTGTTTTACATTTTGTTCAATGTTCTTGAATCCCTTGTACACACTTTGTCACAGTGTTCTTGATAGTTCATCACTATTCTCGATTCTGAATCATGTTCTTGTTTATGTTTTCTTGTTGCATTTTGCCAGATTCTTGCCTCTAATTTCCTATTTTCACATAGTTTTTAGGCTTGGGTTTTGATAGGAGCCACTATCCCTAGGAAAATTGGAACAAATTTCCCTAAATCTTAAAAAGCCCTTGCCCTTGCTTCTGTTCTGAGTTTAAGCCGAGGTCCCTCAAACCTTAACAATCCACTTCCTTTTGAAATCCAACACCTTCCCATTTAGCCGACGTTATGGGTATGTTCAGGTGGACACCCCAACTAAGCTAGCATACTTTAGGCAAGAGTTTGCCATCCTTGTTGACGTTCACCTCAGGTTGGCTGGGGAGGAGGACTCCATTATGCCCAAAGACGACTCCATGCCATTCCCAATTGTAGCCTTCATAGAGTGTGGACTTAGGTTCCCTCTTGACATCCTATTCCGAGAAGTCCTTCACTATTATAAACTCAACCCAATGCAATTAGCCATTAACTCTTACAGAGTCATCAACGGTAGGGGTGTCCGCGGTTCGGTTTGGACGTGGACTTAGGTTCCCTCTTGACATCCTATTCCGAGAAGTCCTTCACTATTATAAACTCAACCCAATGCAATTAGCCATTAACTCTTACAGAGTCATCAACGGTATCATTGCCTTAGCTAGCCGAGAAAATACTAGGGTAACTCTAGCCGACATCTAGTACTGCTACACCATGTGTGGCCTTAAGTCAGAAAAATGCTACATTTATTACCTTAAGCCGAGGTCGATGGAATACAAACTCATTGCCGACCTCCCTGATTCCAACAAGGGCGCCGGAGACGATT